AAAGAACGAGGAGACAGTGTCGTTTGGGGCATTAAGGGAGAGAAAAGAGGGAAAAACCTTGTTCCAGAGGCTTTTAGAATGTCCCTCCACGCTGGCCGCTGATGATTGGATGGCCTTGACCAATGGCCTGGCTGTGAGTCCGCAGTCCACGGCCCACACAGGCCGCCAGAATGAGGCGATCAGACGACACAAGTGTGACGGAAATAATCGACTGCGGGTTTAATCAGCGCGAATGGCTGTGCTCTGCTTCGCCGCGTCGCTCCGTCTCCGTCGCACTCGTGTGACGCCCTCGGGGAGTGCGAGAGAGACAGAGCGACGGCTGGCCTCGGGACTGCCGTCGTGCGGGGCTATTTTTCTATTTTCCCCGGCCGGCCGGCCCGGCCGTCTCCCGCGTCCATTGTAAACGACTAAACTGCTGACGTCAACAGGGGAAAAAGGCCGGCCGGCGGCGGGGGTCGAACCCGCGCCAGGCCCGCCAGGCCCAGTGAAAGTGATCCATCGCCGCTGCCGTCGTGGCCGTCGTGGAGACTTGGGCCCTGCCGCGTAGTCCATCAAAGTGGCTCGAAGGCGGCGAGGCCGGCGCAGCTCGTGGCGGTGCACCGCTGCTGCACGCTGCACTGTAGAAACACCCGAACCGCCCAGACTTCCCTCGTAAATTCCTCACTTCTGACCGTTCGCCGCGAGAGAGCAGCCAGAGGCTAGGACCGCCAACGCGTCACGCTCGCCGTAATGAACTTCATATTTTGGCTGTCGTCCTCCTGGAGCACGGGGCGTGGAGGCAGCGCGCGCGGAAGCAGGGCGAAAATAACAAATCCTGTGTGTAATAGACGCACGGGTGGAGCGCGCCGAGCACGGCGAGGAGCGACAGTGGACAAATAGTGGGGGAGCACACAGACGGACGGACAGGCAGACAGACAGGCAGACAGACAGGCCGCGCCAGGCGGAGCGCGAGCGAGTAGTGCACTTTGCGTCGTTGTGTGTACCTGGAGCCCTTAATCTGATTTGGCAGTGGATCGGAGCAGTTAGTCCCCCCGGGGCTGGCAAACACCAAACAGGGTGATGAACCCTCCGCGCCGCCGCGCCGCCCGACTGGCGTGAGTGTCGCGCCACTGCTAGCGCAAGGCTAGCGGAGGCTAGCGCGAGGCTAGCGCAGGCTAGCCCAGCGGTTCTCAACCTTTCTCGGCTCGCGACCCACAATTTGTAGCCAAAAATTTCCGCGACCCCCAGTAAAAGTTTCGCGACCCCACGGGACCCCTCCTTTAGCATGCCACTGCGTCTGATCCGAGGCGGGCATTTTGCTCCCTCAACGGGCAATTGGTCTTTGGACCTTCCTTTAGCATGCCTCTGTTACGGAGTGCGATTATCAGTCTTAGTTTGGAGCAGTATTGTCTCAAAGTTGGCCAAAACGCTCAGAAATGTCTTTAAAAAATCATGTTTTGGGTCGATTTTAAGCAGCCACTGCGTCTGATTCAAGGCGGGCATTTTGCTCCCTCAACGGGCAATTGGTCTTTGGACCTTCCTTTAGCATGCCTCTGTTACGGAATGCGATTATCAGTCTTAGTTTGGGAGCAGTATTGTCGCAAAGTTGGCCAAAACGCTCAGAAATGTCTTTAAAAAATCATGTTTTGGGTCGATTTTAAGCAGCCACTGCGTCTGATCCAAGGCGGGCATTTTGCTCCCTCAACGGGCAATTGGTCTTTGGACCTTCCTTAGCATGCCTCTGTTACGGAGTGCGATTATCAGTCTTAGTTTGGGAGCAGTATTGTCTCAAAGTTGGCCAAAACGCTCAGAAATGTCTTTAAAAATCATGTTTTGGGTCGATTTTAAGCAGCCACTGCGTCTGATTCAAGGCGGGCATTTTGCTCCCTCAACGGGCAATTTTTCCTTGGACCTTCCTTTAGCATGCCTCGTTACAGAATGCGATTATCAGTCTTAGTTGGAGCAGTATTGTCTCAAAGTTGACCAAAACAGGCCAACGATTTTTTTAAAGACATTTCTGAGCGTTTCGGCCAACTTTGAGACAATACTGCTCCCAAACTAAGACTGATAATCACACTCCGTAAAAAAGGCATGCTAAAAGAAGGTCCAAAGACCAATTGCCCGTTGAGGGAGCAAAATGCCCGCCTCGGATCAGACGCAGTGGCTGCTTAAAATCGACCCAAAACATGATTTTTTAAAGACATTTCTGAGCGTTTTGGCCAACTTTGAGACAATACTGCTCCCAAACTAAGACTGATAATCGCATTCCGTAACAGAGGCATGCTAAAGGAAGGTCCAAAGACCAATTGCCCGTTGAGGGAGCAAAATGCCCGCCTTGGATCAGACGCAGTGGCTGCTTAAAATCGACCCAAAACATGATTTTTTAAAGACATTTCTGAGCGTTTTGGCCAACTTTGAGACAATACTGCTCCCAAACTAAGACTGATAATCGCACTCCGTAACAGAGGCATGCTAAAGGAAGGTCCAAAGACCAATTGCCCGTTGAGGGAGCAAAATGCCCGCCTCGGATCAGACGCAGTGGCTGCTTAAAATCGGCCCAAAACACGACCCCAGCTACCTCGCCGCGACCCCTTGAAATTTTTTCGCGACCCCACTTGGGGTCGCGACCCTAAGGTTGAGAACCACTGGGCTAGCCCGAGGCTAGCGCGAGGCTAGCGCGAGGCTAGCGCCGTGCCGCGACCCGGAGGAAGACACGCCAAAGTAGTTCCCAAGGTAGGCACATAACGCGGAAGCGCAGGGGCATCGCGTGGAATTTTTCATATTCGCCCGACAAGGCGGTGCGTTGCCGCCACGCCTTATTCATTCACGGCGCTGCTCCTTTTTCCCTCTGCAGTCTGTCTCTCTCGCACCTGCACGGGGCGAGTGCGGCAGAGGCAGCGCGACAAAGGACCGGAGCTGTTGTCCGCGCGGGCCGCGGGGTCGGCAAACAGAGCCAATGCAAGGCCTTTCCCTTCCCAATGGCCTGTCGCCTGCTGGGCTTTTCCATTCCCTTCCTAGGCAGCCGAAGGCAGTCGTCTCGCCGCTCGCCTCGCCTCGCTTTGCAGGCCCTGCAGCCCTGCAGGCCGGCCGCCAGGCACCGCCAGGCACCGCCAGGCCGCAACGCGGGGCGGGTAAACACGCTTTTATTTAAAATACGCCTGGATTTCGCCGCCCCGGAATGCCACGCCGGCATATCAAAAAGCAGGCGGCCCTGGCGCCTGAGCTCCGGGCTTTGTGGAGTCGAACGCGTGGCGCGGGGCGGGGCCAGGCCCCTGGGCTTGCCGCTGGCGGGCTGGCGGTGCCTGGCGGCCTGGCGGGCGGATTGCCCGGAACCCCGGAGCCTTCCGGTGAAAGGAACAGGCAAGAGGGCCTAACAGGCCTCGCTGTGCCAGGGCGGCATCAAGCCGCAGGAGGTAGGCCGGACCGCGCCACCGCAAGCCGACGCGCCACCCACCCACCGCCCCGCCCCGCCCCACCCCGCCACCCCCAGGCCGGCCCAGGCCCCGCGGCACGACGGGCTCCATCAGCGCACTCGCAGTGTCACACCGCGGGGGTCGCGGGGCTCCAACCGCGAGACTCATGACACCGCAGAAACCTAAGCACCCAAAAAAGACAGTTTCTTGTACCAAGAAACTTTCCTAGCAATACTAAGTGAATTTACTTGAAACATTCAAGTAAATTCACTTGATGCAAGCATGTTACTTTGGTTCAAAAAACGTTTTTTGGTGTGTGTGGATGTGTCCCCACATGTGCTGGCCACATGGGCACAAAGTCGTACAATGCACCAGGGTTGCCTGCCTCACCCAAGGCAAAATCTTGGCACCGAGGCGTCCCTTGCAGGCAGTCTGAGGTTGGCATCCCTTCGACTGATGCGTTGAGGGAAGTTTCGCGGAGCTTTGCCTTCTTGCGGCAGCACTGGTGCGGTGCCACCCGGAGCAGACAGGCAGCCAGCCAGCCAGCCAGTCAGCCGGCCCGCCAGCCAGCTTGCTTGCAAAGGAATTCGCGCTGTGCAAATAATAAAATGGACGTGTTTGCAGATCTAGAAAAAAGAAAAAGGGGGCACCAACGTTGACTTTCGTTTTGGAGTTCGGGGGTGGTTCGGCTGCACGAAAAGGAAAGTACGGTACCGGCGCGGCGGAGGCCTTTTGGGCCTCTTGGCTCCACTTGTCCGTCCGCAAACCTCAGCGCGCCTCGCCGGGCGGGGTGGGGCGGGGCGGGGCGGGGCGTACCCGCAGGGTGTACGCTTGCTCTGCCCATCTCACTGACAACTTTTCCAATATCAGCCTCGCAACGCCTCACCCCCGCCCCGGCCAACAATTTCCCCCTCCCCCCCTTCCCCTCGCCTCGTCCCGAGGCGTCCACGGCCGACTCGTAACGCGTCCTGCGAGATGAATTGAAAGGCTGTGCGACGCGTGGACACGCCGGCGGACACGCCAGCGGACACACCACTGTACTTGCCCGGCTGAGGCCAATGGTTTGACGGCACACTGTATCACGAAGAGACACGCGGCGAGATTGAAGCGCGTATGTTATGACGTACTCCCTTTTTTTTTGCTCCTCTTTCGGCGAAGGGAGTAACGGACCACTTTTCCACTTTCAGTGAGACCCAGCGGGCAGGGCAGTGGCAGGGCAGGGCAGGGCAGGGCAGGGCTGGCCAGGCGGGACGACCTCTCACACGCCGCGCGCGCCGCGCCAACAAACAACATTACTCCCCTCCAATGGAAGTAGCTAAATGACTTGGTGCTGCCCGCCCCCCCCGCCCCGCCCCCCCCGCCCCGCCCCGCCCCGCCCCGCCCCGCCCCGGCAGGCCCGGGCCGCGGCTGGCCCCAGTTCCGCACGTCTCCCTCGTGGGGCTTCCGAATGGCGAGGTGGAGGGGCGGGGGCGGGCCGCGCCGCCCATCACAACATCGAGGGACTGAAGTGGCCCATCCCGGCGCCGTGAAAGCCGCGGCACAGAAGGAGAAAAAAGGCGAAAAAAAGCAAAAAAAAAAAAGGCGAGCGAAAAAAGAAGTTGTACTCACTTGACACTCGTATGTGCCGTTGTCGCGCTTCTGGACGTATCTGATGACGAGGTGCCACTCTTCGGCGCCCTCGGGGTGCACCACCTCGTACCGCTCGTCCGTCGTGTAGGTGGTGGTGCCCGACGTGAGGATGTGCCAGTCCCGCCGCCGGATCCACATCACCTGCGCAACAACAACAACATCAACGTGACGCACTCCACTGCAACCCATGACGAAGACTCTCGGTGGCGGGCACGATGGCAGAGAGAGAGCGAGAGAGAGAGAGAGAGAGAGAGAGAGAGAGAGAGAGAGAGAGAGAGAGAGAGAGAGAGAGAGAGAGAGAGAGAGAGAGAGACTCCGCGGGCAGCAGCATTGTTCCAAAAATAAAGAAACATATCGAGGTTCGTTTCCGCGGCCCGGCCCGGCGCGGCCCGGTCGGCCAGTGCGTACAAAAGCTCACGCTTTAGCCGACACAACGGCCTTGATGGAAGCCTTCCAGCCTCGCGGTCTCCTTCGCGCGCAAACGCATGAGCCTGATACTTTCAGTCCCACCCCTAACTTTGGGGGCCCTGGCCGCCCTAGCCGCCCTGGCCCTGAAACCTTTCCCTCCTCCCATATACAAACCGTACCGGGAGCGGCCCCCATTCAAGCACCCCCACCCCTTCCTCTCGCTCCTTCCAAATTCCCGCCACGGCCCTTCCGTCTCGCGCTCCTCTACTTCCGGCCACGAAATTTTTATGTGCGGCTTGCGGTGCGCGAAAAAGGGGGGTACGGAGAGTAATGGGGGGGGAGGGGGAGAGAGAGAGAGAGAGAGAGAGAAGAAGAAGAGGAGGAGGAAGAGAAGGAAGAGGGAGACGAAGAGGAAGAAGAGGAAGAGACAGGTCGTTTAAAAATAATAAACAGAAATGTAAACCAATGGCGCGTCGCCCTCTTCCGGGAATCGAGGGCGACCTTTAAAGCCCAACAAAAAGGAAACATTCTCGGGCAGAAAGTTCCGCGGCGCGGTGGGCGAGTACCCCTTTCCCTCTCTCTGTCCTGGTCTAATAAATTTATGGACCAGCCCCTCAGCAGGCATGGCGGGAGATTCAAATTGGGTCGGCCAAGCATGAAACTCGGAAAGAAACTTGTGTTGAGATTCGTGTCTGTTCGGAAAAAAAGGAGGGGGTGGGGGCGAGGGTGTTCCTAATTCCGCCTGAGAGAGCCAAGGGGAAGGGAGGAGGTACCTTCTCCGACCAGGGCAGCTTCGCGGAGCTCCGCGGAGCGTCGCGCGTTGTCCCCCGGAAATGTGGCTTCGGGCGGGGCCGCTGGGCCGACAAAAGGTGTCTGCTTCGACGCGAGGCAAAGCTGCAAGGCAACGGCGGGCCAGCGTCGGCGTATGGAAATACAGTTGACGACGCCGAAAAACGGGGCGAAACCGTTCAGAAAAGAGGCGAAAATAAAAAGGGAAAGAGAAGGGGCGTTGCTTATTTCGCTCCGACCATTTTAAAACGCCGTCGGGGAAGAAAAACACGCACGCTCTTTACAGCGGAGCCACAAACAGTGGCGCGGCAGGAAAGGAGGGAAAAAGGGAAAGAGGCAAGTGATTATGCCTCGCGAGTCGTGAGAAGGAAAGTGCGTCGCGGAAAGGTAAATTCACTTTCTGCGGAGAGAACATTATTCCCACAGCGCTATCCCTACACTACTACTGTGTCGAGTGTTTCTAAAGTGTGCGTGAGTGTGTGTGTGTGTGTGTGTGTGTGTGTGTGTGTGTGTGTATGTGTGTGTGTGTGAGTGCGTTGCGGCCAGGAGCGGGCGGTAGGCCGCAACACAAAAGACCTCCCAGGAGGAAAGGGGCGAGAAGAGCGAGATAAAGCAAGAGAAGAAAAGGAGAAAAAAGGCGGAGAGAGCGAGCGAGAAAGAAAAGGAAATGGTCGATAGAATGTGAGGGAATCAGCCATTGGGTTGCACTGCTGACCTCAGCGAGGACCTCTGGCCTGGCCCGGCCGCGCCACTGTACTGGCGTGTCACTGTGACAAATGGCCGCGACGCTGAGGTGCGACAGCGTCGCCCTCCCCCTCCCCCTCCCCCCCTGCAGAGCCCTGCCTCGGCCCTGCCGCCGTGTTGATCTTGGCCCGCTTGCTATGCATGTATTTGGGGCGAGGCAGGCCGGCCGGGGCACGCAGGACGGGTCAGTGGGATGGCACGCCATGGCGCAGAGGCATCGAGCCTCGCTTCTTATCCGCGGCCCAGCCCGGCTAATCTGCATCCAATTTGCCATTTGCTGCGCGGCTGCGCTGCGTGGAGAATAACGAACTCCCCGCGGCACTGCCACGGCACTGCGGACTGACTCGGCCGGCTGGCCGGGCACCACCGAGCGGCTCAGCAACATTACATTATTGATGCACGCGCGGCGGCCGGCAGTGGCCCCGTCCTGCCCCGTCCTGCCCCGTCCTGCCTCGTCCTGGCTGGCAGTCGGGTGGACGCGGTCCTGCCGCTCGCTGCCCCGAGTGCTATCGCAGACGATAAGCCGAATAGGCGATTCCGCGTGCTCTGGGAAACTCGGAGAAAATTCGTAATATCTTGCCGCTGCCCGACCGTCCCGGCCGACCCATCCCGGCCATCGCAGCGGCATCGGCATTCCTGCCCGGTCCGGCCCGGCCAGTCCGACTAGACCGTCCCAGAGAATTAAACGAACAGCATCCCTCGCAGCGCGGCGGCGCAGCGCAATGCAAAGGAGAGGCGGGCGGCGCGGCCCCGCCGCAGATTGCCCCGCCCCGAGACGTGCTGGGGACTCCCCCGCCTTCTCTCTCGCACCGCCAAGGCCCGCCCCGCGAGTGCGACAGAGACGCCAACCCGATCGCGCCGTGGATGTTTTATTGACCGGGAAGTCGGCCCCGGTCCATTAGATATCCCCGAAGAAATGGAATCGGGCTGGCTGGGCTGGGACGACTGGGGCCGCGCTTGGCTCGCGCTCAGGCTGGCGGCCCAGCGCGGCCGAGCGCCTGCGAGGTAGGCCGCACGGACACTCGCCTGTCCGGCGGGCCGGCCTGGCCGCCAGGCGGCAAGCCAGCAGGCAAGCCAGCAGACACGCGCGCAGGCCGCGAAAGACAAAGACGCATCATGCCTCTGTCCTTGTTCTGTGGGGGGAGCCCGCTAGCAGGGAAGTGGGCTGGCAGGGATGTTATCGCGTTCTTATTGAATCACGACCAGAAAGAGGAAGAAGAGAGCAGGCCAGAGTCATCAATACCGAAAGGAGCGAACCGAAGTCCCCTCCAAAGTTGGATGAGTGCCCCCCTTCCCCCTCCCTCCCCCACAAAGAGGTGCAGGGCGGAAGTGGGTGGTGGGAGACGCCCTCGGTGGAGTGGGTCAACGCCTTGTACGGTGGCTGCGGTTTTCTGGCCCGACTTTGCCCAAGAGGCATTAGTCGTCCGGGTCGCGACCCGGCAGCCAGCCCGCTTCAGGCGGACTCACTCTGTCCCTCTCGCACTCGCGGGCCGTGGCGTGTGGGTGCGAGAGGGACGTAGCCTCTCTCGGACTCAGTGTGCGGCAGCCCGCGCGGGGTTCGGCGGCCACGGCAACGGGAAAGGCCGCGGCCAGGCGGATTTATCCGACCGGCGACACCGTTCCGACTCCGGGGGGCCGCGCCGCGCCGCGCCGTGCCACGCCGTGCCGGGACACACTTTGACGCCATAAATCAAGCTGTCTTCTGTTTTCCTCCTTAATAGGCCACCAGATAAAGGAAGGGCAAGAGGCGTCACTGCGCGTCAAAATTGCGCGTCGTCAGTGATTGCGTGGGAAATTGCGGCATCAGAGTCGGCATGGCCCAGTTTTATGTGCGGCCCGGTTATTTTATTTTCCGCAAAAAGAACGACGTCCAGATGCGCGCGTGTGCGTGTGTGTGTGTGTGTATTCGTTTTCCCCCGACGTGCTAGAACAGCGAGCGAATCGGCCCATACGAGCCAGCTGATGACCCGAAAGTTTCACGGTCCTCTCGCAATAAAAAACGTGGCAGAACCCAGCACGTACAAACACACACACACAGAGGAGCCAGGGCACAAACGAGCCAGAGCCCGTTGTAATAAAATTGAAACGGTAATCTAACAGCAAAAGTGGCCTGTGCCTGGGAGCGTGGTGCACAGTGCGGCGCCAGGCCCACCAGCCCTGCGCCAGCCCACCAGGCCCCCCGCTGCCGTCACAAATAAATGTGATGGCGAAAAGTTGCTATGTGAGAGGAATTAGTGCGAGTTGTTTCGGACGTGTAAACTTTAGCGCTCGCGCGTGCACCAGTCGTGGCGGCGGCGGCGGCCCGGAGCGGTGGGGGTAAACGGAGCGACAAAGTCCCCTGCACAACGAAAATGAGAAGAGGCGGCGTGTAGAACCAGGGGCTGCAGCGGCGGCCAGCGGGTGAGAGCGAGAGCGAGGGAGCCGGAGGTGAGAGAAAAGAGGCCGGGGAAGGAAAATTGAGGCAGGCCGGGCGAGGCGCGGCGGGGCGTGGGCACGAGCCGGGCAGGGCAAGGGAGGCTGGCTGGCTGGCTGGCGTTATTTATTGGACAAGTTGTGAGGTTTGTGTGGTCGGTTAAGTACCGGCGCCTCACGACCTTAGCGAAACAACGTGGCGTGGCCGGCTGGATGGGGCGTGGGGACTGGTCAGCGAGGAGGCCGAGGAGGCCGCCAGGCAGCCCCAGCTGCTACCTAGGCCTCTCTCTCTCTCTCTCTCTCTCTCTCTCTCTCTCTCTCTCTCTCTCTCTCTCTCTCTCTCTCTCTCCTTCGCTTCGACTGGAGGGTATTTGTCTGCCCTTCTCTCTCCCTCTTCCTTCCTTGCTGGCAGACATGACAAATAGACAGCAGGTCTGGCCGCGGTGACGCGTGGCATCCTTCTCGTGTCGAAGGCCGGAGGGGAGGGGGGGGGCGAACTACATGTATGGCGGTGTCAATATCGGGAACCGCCAGGCACACGCTAAAAATCACCCCAGAGCTGGAGCATCTAGGAAAACACACTCAAGCAGAAGCCAATAAAAAAAAGGAACTTTCAAAATTTTATTTTGAAGTAGCGGGTGCGGGCGACAACAGCCCGGCCTGGGCATTCCCACCGTAAGACGGCGCAAGACGGCGCAAGGCGCACTGCGGGCTGTGTGTACACTACACTGTACAGCCAAGTCAAACACCGGCTGTACAATGAGCGTCTCAATCGGCGGGCTGGGCGGCTGGCTGGCTGGGCCCGGCAGGCTGTTGCACTGTTTGCACTGCTTGCTCCGCGGATGGCCAATCCGGATTTTGCTTGCTGGCCGGCTGGGCAGCGCCGGGCCGGGCTGGCCGGGCTGGCGTACCTAACGAGGCCCCGCCGAGCCCCGGCCCCGCCGAGCCCCGCCGAGCCCCGCCTGCAAAGCACAGAGGCGCGAGGCGAGGCGAGCGGGCCGCAAACCGGCGGGGCGACCCGGAACACCGGCGGGGCGGGACCGGGCGGGACCGGCAGGGCCAAATTTCCACTCTTTGGATTGAGACAAAGCTCCGTGAACTCTCATTATCGGTCTTTGGAAACAAACCGGCAGGGCGGCCCACCCTTTGCCGCGCGGCCAGCGCCCGCACCCCGCCGCCACCGTGACCCCCTGCCTCTCGGCTTGTCAACGGGTTGTCCGCGTGAGTCGCGCTCGCCGCGCGCCAGAGTACTCATCAGAACTTGCGCCCCTCACAGCCCCGCCAGCGTGGGTCTTTCAGTTTCCCCTCAGCACAGTGGGCCAGCGGCCGACGCGCGTTTGGAGCTCCAGAGTCGCTAAACAGGACGCAAACCGAGCCTATGACCCCACCAATGGATTCCTCGTTCGGAGAGCAATCCATTGGTGGGGTCACACGTTCGGTTCAAGTCCCATTTAGCAACTCTGGAGCTCCAAACGCGTCCGGACTTTTGGCCGTCCGGCACCGGTCTTCTGGCCCACTGTGCTACTGTTCCGGGCCGTGGCGACGACGACGTTGTTTGGAATGCGCGAGACTTTGTGTAGGTGTGAGGGGGGTCGGGGGGATGGATTGGTGGCTGCTGCTGAAGCCGAGCCAAAACATCCCGGAAAAGTTACAGTGGACGAGCGGGGCGGCGGCGGCCCAGGGGACGCCCCTCGTGGCGGGGCGGAGCGCTGCGTGTGTGTGTGTTTGTTTTAAGGTCGGTCAACATAATATATTTAGAATTCCAGTCGGAAAGTGTGAGGTGCCAAAGGGGGAGGGGGGGGGGCTGCGTCCCGCCGAAGAGCATCCCGCAGGCCGATCCTCTCTCGCTGTCTCTCTCGCTCTCGTGGGGCCGGGCCTGCCTGGGGCCTTGCGGAAGAGAGAGACAGGCTCACCTTGTGCTCGCCGAGGTTGCGCACCCTGCACCGTAGGAAGGCGTTCTCGCCGAGCTGCACCGTCACGTTGGTCACGAGGTTCGAGTCGAACTGGGGCAGCTCCTTGGGCACCTTGCCCTTGTCGGGGCCCTTGGGCAGCCAGGGCGGCGCCAGCGTCGTGGCCTTGATCTCGTTCAGCTCTGCAACACACAGACAGAATGGCTTCATTCCCCGCAAAAACACAAATTTTGATGCTTTAGGGACACACTGAGAGGGGCTCTGTTTTTTTTTCACACACCCTTCGACACTTTTTCATCAACTTCTTTCATGGCAACTACTTCAGTTTCACTGCTGCTTTCTTTGTGTCCCCATACCCACACGAACCAAGAGCAATCCGGCCACGGCCGAGCACAGCACGCAGTGGCGCGATACGCTGGCCCGCTTGTTGAGAGCGTGTCCCGGCCGTCCCGGCCCCGGGTTCGAATCCCGCCGGGGCCGGTCGTCGTATTGCGTCGTGCTTTTCGCCCTGCTCGGCCAGGTAATGCCTATAGGCGTCGCCTCGGCCGCCGCACCACCTCGCTGAAAGTAAAGGAAGTTTGAACGCCGCCAACTTGCGCGGGCTTCCCCGCCATCCCGGCCAAACCAGTGTTTACTACACTGGGGTGGCGGAGCGTGGCGTGGTTATGGGGAGGGCGGCGGGATTGCAGCGTACTCCTTCTTACGCCCACCAACACAACACACACACACACACACCTACACCACCCACACACACACACACCTACGCACACACACACACACACACACACACACACAACTCCAGCGCGCCCCAACGCGTGGGCGCGATATTAAATCAGGTCAGAGTGGTCGCCAATTCAGTCACAAATTAAAGATAACGCCGACGCGCCCCGGACGTCAAATTAAACCCGAGGTGAAGCAAAGGTTAAAAGCAAGAGAGAAAAAGGCGCGTTTGAGGTGACTGGATCTTCTGGTGCGCGCTGTGGCAAACCGTGTGGCAAACCGGCGGACCGGTTACGAAGTCCAACGATCATTAGCTTGCTTGGCACACTGCAAAGAGCGCAGCAAACTGGCCGTCGCGCGCGCGGTCTGCATGAGTGCGAGTGAGCGAGTACACTGGTGCGAATGTGTGTGTAATCGTCCATAACGCCTGCTCCGCGCAACCTGCGGCAGAGAGAGAAGAGAGAGAGAGAGAGAGAGAGAGAGAGAGAGGAAAAAAGGGCCGAAGTCTGGCGGCGTAAATCACGCGGCATCGTACACGTCGCTCTGTCTCACTCGCACCCACGGCGCGTCCCGTGAGGGAGCGAGAGAGACGCAGCGACGAAAGCGCCGTTCAGGCTGCACAGCGGCGGGGGCGTCGCAGCGTATAGGTGCTGCAAATCACTAGGCAGCAAAATGTGTTTTGAGTTATCGCCGTGTTCGCATGCCTCGCGCCTTGCCACGCCTTGCCTTCCACAACATCCTTTGGCTGTAAACGCTGCCGCCGCCTCCTCAGTCCTTTCCTTTCGCTTTCTCGGGGCCACTTTCCGCTCTCTCTCTCACACACACACAGGCGCGGACACGGGCGGACACACACCTACGCGGATATCGGTAAACGCATTTTAGAAGACCTCCTTCGCCGTGACCTCCTTCTGGCCGTGGACAACGGCCCCGGCCAATTGATGGTCTTGCTATGATAATGCCTGTAAGCCTCCCTTTGACCTGAGTAATTGAGTACGGTCGCTCCCTCTGTCAGTGTGCGTGTGTGTGTGTGTGTGTGTGTTACATCGCAGACTAATGTTTCCCAATCCTCATATCCGCCCATTACGTCACGAGTGCACTTACATACGCTCGGCGGCCTTCTTCCGACACACACACACACACACACACACACACACACACACACACACACACACACACACACACACACACCCGCGCTCCCTCATCTCCCGCAACGCGCGCGCCCCACTTACGCAACTATCCCGATGAGTGAGAGAGAGAGAGGGAGGGAGGGGAAAGTGTTGCGGGACTCTCGCGGGTAATGAGTGCTGTGTATTGGCGGTTAATTAGCACGTCCCCCTTGTAAATTAATGGGCCGCTTTTGTGGCGGGGCGGGGTGGGGCGGGGCAGGGTGGGGTGGGGTCAGGCGGGGCGGGGCGATATCAGAACGACACGAACTGCCAGGCCAGCACCGGGCAGAACTGCATGCCCGCCGGGAAGCACACGCGTTCGCCATTCCGCGCTGCGGCGCCGAGCCACCACACTGCATTCCTTCCTCTTTTCCTCTTCCTCTCTCTATCCACACACACACACAAGCCGCGACCGCGCAGCAGCTGGCCGCAAGAGCTTGAGCGCGTATATATCCGAACGAGGCGTGGGCTGCGCGTCGTCCACGTCGTCGCGTCAACAGATTGGACCGAGACTCCCGCCGCCGGCGACGAACTGGGGCGGAGGCGGAGGCTGCCCGTTGGAGGAGAGAGACAAACATCGAGACGCAGCAGAAACCTGGCCTTCTTCGAGCGTTTCATCTTATTATTGCGACTGGTTTGCCACGTGTCTTTCGAGAGCCAACGTCCGCCTGCACTGACTCCCGGTGCTTTGTGACGTTCTGACATCCTGGCGTCGTGGACTCCCGACCGCCGTCAACGCGTCCGGAGATGAGGTCCCTGCAGGCTGCGGTTCCGGACGAGTGCTTCGTCGCTCCGTCTCTCTCTCTCCCTCTCATGGGGCAGCGGTGCGAGAGCGTCGGCGCGACGCGAGCGGCGTTGCCGGGACGCAGCCCGCCGCAGTGCTGCGCCCCGCCTTGGCCCCCCGGGCTGTCCGCGTTGACGCTGGTTCGCGCGCATGCATCGCGGCATCGCGGTCGCGTTAGAACGGTTCGATAGCGAGCACGGGGCGGTGAGGCTTTCGGCGGTACACGCACTCAAAACACCCCTGCGTTCTTGCCTTAAAGTGGCAACTCTAGTGCGATCCAGCGTGGCGCACTGGATTGTTTCGACGGAATTCTTGACAGGAGCACCTCGAGGACAAGTTTAGCGTCACGCGTTTCCGAGGCCGAGCAAAGTTCGTCGCCCTGTTCGCCCAGGGCGGCCCGAGGCTCCGGGATTTTTTCCTCGTCGCGCCGCGCCGCGCCACTGCCAGGCCGTTTGAGGCTCGATTTCTGAAGCGCTTGCCGCCAGAACGACTTCACCCTTCACTTCCTCCGGAGCGGACCGTTCCGTTACTTTGTCGCGAAAATCCGTTATTGGCAGTGGGGTGACCTTGGCCGGGTAAGGAGCAGAACATCTCCGGACCTGCTGCACCCCGCCCGGCCCCACCCCGCCCCCTTTCCGATCGTCGTGTGATCCGCAGTGAAGTCACGTTGGTATCGCATTGGATCCGTTCCGGTTGGACGAAAATTGAATCCGACACCTCGTAGCCTTCAATTCCCGGGCCGGCGTGCGTAACCGATCAGCCAGCCGCAGCGGCCCGGCCCGTCCCGCCCCGCCATGCCACACTAGGTCATGTCGAGATACATGTCGCGTACCCGGCCGCTCGGAAGGGGCGCTCCGAAAATAAGACCGACACGAAATACCCACCGTCGATGGCCGTGTGGTCGAAGTCGTCGAACTTGGACAGGTGGAAGGTGCCGTTGAAGTCCCAGTACAGCGACTGCAGGTTCTGCAGGTACGTGGCGTCCAGGTGCGCGGCCGCCATGGTCTGGTTCTTGTGCATCGCCAGGAAGTCGTCTGCGGACAGAAAAGAGAGCGAATGTGGGTCCAGCCGCACTGGCGTGCGTGCGAATCAAACTGCGAGTAATTATTCCGGCCACAAGGTGGCAGCACTGGCGGCGCTGTTCGCCGAGTTTCAAATTATTCCGTAGATGCCGGCGGGCGGCGGGCCGGCATACCGCGGTACCGCGTGTAGCGGATCAGGCCGGCCGCCCAACTGTCAAACTGTTTCCAGTTTCTCAACTTGCCGGGCCTTTTCCGACGCAGCCAGTTAGTTGGAGAGCTCCTCCTTGCCCGTTTGCCGGGCGGTGATAGCCCACCCCCTCCCCCTCAGACCGATGTATGATTTTTGTCCAGGTGGGGGGGGGTGCACCAACTTTCTGGCCAGCGACGCCGTCCGCCGGCCTTGGCACAGTGGTCCATCGGGTCGACGCGGGGATGGCGCAATGGAGAGAAAAGAAAGAAGAAAAGAAAATAACGAAAAGACGCAGTATTTGAACCCGGGACGAGGATGGAATGGCTCATTTTCCGGCGAGGAGGCTCGGGGTGTCTGACAAACGGCAGCCAGGTGCGAGGCCAATCTCAATGAAGCTGTAGCGGTGTAATTAATTACCACGAGAGGGAGCCACTGGAAGGGGGAGAGGGGGGGGGCTCCAGGCCGCGCTCCAGACAGTCTCCTGGAACGGCGGTCAGCCAAGGAGGCAGAAATCGGGAAAACGGGGCGGAGGGTGCGGAAAATAAATGGACGAACACAACAGAAAAACACGACGAGGTGCCGCGCCAGCTCGCCAGCCGCTCGCTACACTGCAGGGCGGCACTGCGCTGGGAAATTGGGGCACGGTATGACGTCATCATTGGCTGTGTCTTCATCCCCACCACGGCGGCCAGGCCAGGCCCGCCAGGGCCCGCCAGGCCCGCCAGCCCAGGGGCACTATTGACAGCACATGTGTCGCCACGGGCATGAATCATGGGCGGGGAAGAAGCCGCGGCCGAAAAATAATAAGCCATAAAACGGAAGTCGCTGGAGCAGTTTGCGGTCCCACACAGTGGGCCAGAGGACCGGCGGAGGCGGTCAGAATCCCGCACGCCTTTTGAGCTCCAGAGTCACGAAATGGGACTCGAACCGAACGTGTGACCCCACCTGGATTACTCTCGGAACGAGGAATCCATTGGTGGGGTCACACGTTCAGTTCGAGTGCCGTTTAGCGACTCTGTAGCTCAAAATATCGGGAGTTTTGGCGCCGGCGCCGGTGTTCTGGCCCTCTGTGTGCCGCCCCACCCTGCGCGAAGGTGTGAGACTGCGAGGCGCATATAATACACTGCGGGCAAAGCACTCCCCCAATTTCACTCCCCAGGGCGCCCTGATTGGCTGTCTCGCTCCCTCCTCCCCGCTCCCTCTCTTTCTCCCTGCCTGCCGTGTGATTAAAAGCCGCAGTGGCTGTTGTGGTGACGAGGCCGAGCCGGGGGTAGTGGCGTCTCGTTCTACGACAGGAACACCTCCAGCGAGAGGGTCTTGCTCCGTACAGAATCTGGAACCCTAGCCTTGTCGCCCCACCGTCTAGGACTCTAGATTTGCCGAGTCGCAACGGGCTGCTCTCAAGACTCAGACTGCTTTCATTTGAAGGGACGTGCAGCACCACACTAATCGTTGATCACTTTTGTCTCCCTGCTGCGACCAAACACCACGGCATTCAAAGAGTCGCGGGAGAAACACGTCAACAGCAGCAGCGACACAAAAAACCAGTCCGAACATGAAGGTGCAAAATGGTATCCACACACCGCGCACCGCGCGCAAGCTGTTCCCTTTTTTCCCCCCGCAGCCCACGCAAGCTTTATCGGGGCGTCACTGCTGGTAAATGGTTTTACAGCGTCGGGGTGGGCGGGGCGCGGCGAGGCGGCGGTCTGGCGGATCCCCCGGGAACATGGCACCAGACGCACGGCGCGGCACGGCGCGGCACGGCACGGCACGACACGGCCAGGCGCACAGGTGCTTCATTTGCACGCCATTCCCTATTCCACGTCCGCTCCTCCCTCCCCCTCCACCCCCGCAGCCTTAGACCAGCGTGGACTGACGTGACTGCCTTGATTTCCTTCCCGTTTACCTGTGTCAACCAGTGCACCACCACGGCCGGCACTATTTGCCGACCGGATCTACTTGACCCCTCCACGGGCCGTTTGAGGCGCTTTCGGGCCGGCCTGAGGCGATGCCCGGATTTCCTGTTGCAGCGCAACGAGCACTGATGCACTGTTGCAGCGCCAACGCGGCGGCCTCGGAGGCAAGGCGCCTGGATTCTGTTCAATATTTCTATCCAATATCGGGGAGCGGTAGCCTCACAAAGTTGGTCATGAAGGGTAAAAACATAATGATGATCGGGGGCCTTTTGCGGTCTTATCCGCTGGGGCCTTTTGGGGACCAGTCCGAGCCTGGCGTAGGCAACTTTTGTGACAGGACCTCTGTTTATCCGTCTTTGGTCCTTTCCGCACAGATTCTCAGCATCATCAGCCTGCTGGGAAGTTGGAAGCCAGCTCTACGCACTGTGTCGCGCTGCGTGGCATTCAGGCTCGGGGCCCTTGCCTTTTCAATCCTATCGATAATGCATCGCAGCGCTGTGGTGATTCTGATGGTGGGTGTTTGGTTTGGGGGGAGGGGGAGGGGGAAGGGGAGTGTAGCCGGGCACGGTTAACGGCGTAATTACAGTGTTTGACGGAACAATGGATGGCCCTGCCACGGCCCTGCTGTGGACACGCAGTGTGCTGCGCCGGCCTCCCATGGGTGTGGCGGGGCGGGGCGGGGCGGTGCGCGGTGGGGCGCGGTGGGCCCGCCGGATGAAGCACAATGCCAGTAATTACACGTAATGAGTGCATGGAGTGGAGTGTACTGGTGCAGTCATTAAGGCCCAATAAGACGCCGACTGAGCGCTGCGTGGCGCTGCATAGCGCTGCAGCGCGGCAATGCACATCTGGAACTACCCCCAGTGGCGCGACGGGACGGCCGAGGGCGCGGCGCACCCATCGCGCCTCACTGCCGCGAGCGCTCCGGCACACTGGGAGTCGGATTCGTCGCTCTGTCTCTCTCGCACCCACACGGAACGCCGCGTGAGTGCGAGAGGGACAGAGCGACGACTCTCGGAATCAGTCCGCAGGCACAGCGCGGGCACATGGCGTCGCCGTGCCTGGCAATGGCCATCGACTTTATCCAAGAGGCCCCATCCCGGTCCGCTCCGTACCTCCCCCTATCTCGGCGTCTCGCCCCGAAATGAGCATGAGGGACCGGAAGGAAGATGCGCTCTGCTGCGCTCAGCAGAGTCGCTCTGTCTCTCTCGCACCCGCACGCGCCGCCCCGTGAGTGCGAGAGAGACACAGTGACTCCCGAAATCGGTCTGTAACACGGCGGCCAAACGAACGCTGCGTCCCGGCGTCCATTAGTAGACACTCGAGCAGCGCGATCCGCGCCTGCACTGCGAGCGCGGCGGAGCGCGGGCTCCTTCAAGCTGTGTCTTTTCTTTCTCGTTCCCTCCGAGTGCCGCCCCGTCCTTGTCGCACTCGCGGCCTCGCGCGGCGTGCCGTCGAGAGGGACCGGACTGGTGCATCGCTGCGCCAGGCTGCGCGCTGCGCGACGGTTTCTCTTCGAGTCACTGCAGACTTATTCCGAGGGTCCTTTTCGTCGCTCTGTCTCTCTCGCACTCATGGGGCGTGCTGTGTAGGTGCGAGAGAGACAGAGCGACGGAGACGACGACACTCGAATCAGTCCACTGGCTGCGCGCTGCGCTGGCGTGGCGAGGCTAACGATGTGTGCCCCGCGCTGGCAAGCTGCGGCAAGCTGGCACTGCCGGCGAGCGGTTCCCGTCGTCCCGTCGCTCCGTCTCTCTCGCACCCCCGCGGGACGCGCCGTGAGTGTGACAGAGACAGACGGCGGAACGACCAGGCGACCATCGGCAGCTGCGATGAGTCCGCACCGCAAGGCTCCGCGGACTCCGCGGCAGCAACAGTGGCGGGCCGGGCGGGGCCGGGCGGGGCCGGGCGGGGCACTGGGCATCTGTCTTGCTTTGGATCGGACCGGCAGACCGGCAGAACGCCACCTCATTCTCGCCAACAAAATGGAATTTATTCCAGGGAGCCGGGCAAAGAACGAGGAGGACGAGGGCGAGAGAGAGAGACACACACAGAGAGAAAGAAAGACAGACAGAGATACGGGGAGGGTACGTCAACCCAGCCATATTTCATGTTTGTCGTGAAACTTGCTGTTAGTCCCAGATGCCTCCGCAGCGCGCCATGCCGAGCCATGCCGTGCCATGCCGTGCCATGCCGTGCCATGCCGTGCCGCCACCTCGACGGCGACCGCGGCTCCGCGCTCCGCGTCCGAAAGTCTTCCCGGAAACGCGCGGACCTTCCTTCGCTGGATAAAAGAAACAGCTTCTTTCTTTCTCCTACACACGACACGGTTCATTGCTCCCGCAAAAAAACAACAACAACGAAAACAAGGTCAAGCAGCGGTAGTGAAAGTATTTTGACAGATTGCAGCGGGAAAGTCCGCAAATATATCATTTCCTTGTTCCTCCAGGACGGAAGGGAATGATAATAAAAGGTAATTTCTCGCGTAGTATCAAGACGGCGATAACGCACTTCGCGGAACGTTCCAGGAAGCCAAGTCGCGGCCCCCCCACCCACCTCGCCCCGCCCCACCCCGCCCCGCCCCGCCCCGCCCCCAAAGTGCCTCACGTACCGCGGGGCGGGGCACTTCCAGACCTGGGGGCAAACAGGGAAGTAACGAGGGGTGCTCCACTTGACTACCATTCCATCTCCACTTTCGGCCCCCGCCAGTGAAGCTTGTGCCATTTATTCCTCCCCTCTTGCTTTTCCACGGCTCCGTATACTCCAACTTTCGAACAGAAAACATAGGTTGTCAACTAGCGTTTTCATTTGAAATATCTTTTTTTTTCTTTTCCCTGTGGTTCCCGTTTTATGCAGCTCGAGCTGGCGGCCCGCAACAGGTCTCTGTTTCCACAATTACGAGGACC